TTTTGATTACAAAGAATAAAGAAGTAGTATGAGTATAAAATATTATAGAAAAAAAGGTGCTTTCTATAAACCTTCCTAAAGGTTTCAGGCTCAATCACAAAAGCAAAAGTGGTCCCAATTAGGAATTATTGGTACTTTTCCATCATCAGAAAATAGAGAATGAAGGTGAAATGAGCTTTACAGATATAATTTGTCCTTTTTTTCCCTCTAAGTTTTCATTTCTTTAATTTTGTGTGGTGTATAAAAGATGCTAAGCTGCAGTTTTGCAGCTTTTAGTGAATATCACATCCAGACTGTCATACAGTAAATTGTAGCCATTTTAATGCACATTTAAAATGTAATTTCATTCCATTTCCACAGGCTGCTGTGAGCAGGGATTCATCACATGATTAATAGTGAAATAAGAACCGATACAAATTATTCCCCAACCTTTTCACATGAGAAGCAAACTCCATGGTGCCTATATCTGCCTGTAGGCTTCTAATTTAAAACTTTGCAGTGAGTGACATGTGAGCTTCTTTCAGATAATGCTTCTGTCTTGACTGTTCCTTACAACATTGCTGAAATATAAAGAAATGGTTACTCTCAAGACTCCTTATTGCTGTAAGATATTGTTCTCTCACACTGCAAAATGCTTTCTGGGTCTCCCATTTGAATTTTTATTACTCAGCCAGGTGTGTTTTTTTTTCATGCCCTTTATGGGGGCTAAAAAAAATAAAAAGGATTGCACTGCACGAAATAAGAGTATCACTCCTTATCCTCAGTTTTGCAAGGACCTCTGTGTTTCAAGAACATGCAATGTCATCATTTACTTCTGTGAATAATGATGGATTTGTATTTACAGCTGTACTTCAAACACATACTATATAAATAAAAAAAATAAATCCAACTTCTCCATATGAAGCTGCGTACTGCACTTCCTAATTTACTGAAGGATTTTGAGCTTTTTCAATATATGTCTAATCTCAAAATTAACATTTCCAATCCCTATGCGCTTAATGTATCTCTGTCTGCTGCTACGGTCTCTGAGTGCCAGAGTAATTTTCAGGTTACGTGGAAGTCCGACGCTGTAACCTATTTGAATATTCAATTACCCGCCCACCTATCAGAGTTCTATTCTAAGAATTACTTGCCCATTCTTCATAACATAGTGGATGACCTTAGCAGATTGGATAAACTTTTTTTTTTCTTGGTTTGGCAAGGCTGTCATTCTTAAGTTGCACGTTTTGCCCCGTCTGCTGTATATTCTGCATTCCGATCAGATTGCCTTCAGCATTCTTTACAGCTTATAAGCGGTACTGCGCAGCATTCTTTGCCACAATAGGAGACTGAGAATCAGCTATGACCAGCTAGCCCTACCTAAACAGAAAGGGGGATAGCCCTTCCTAATCTTCTCAATTACTACACAAGGATCATGGACTGGAATATTCACAATTGACTTAATGATTGAGTTTGGCTAGAGGAATCCTTTACTGTCTAGTCCCTGAGCTCTGTGCCCTGGCTATCTTTGCAATATGTCCCCACTGCTCTTTTTCACCATCTTATTGCATTGCAACCTATGCTGCATCTAAGAGGTCTGTATAAAACTTCAGCTTTCTTCTGTGTCAGATCCCTTAATTCATATCCAGTTTAACCCAGAGTTTCTTACTGGGATGCCTGATTGTTTCTGTCAGGTTCTTGGCCACGTTCCAATATGCATGCTCGCCACTTCTTTTGAGGGGTAGTAGGCTCCTCAACCATGCTGCTCTGACATTCCAAATGCAAGATGACTCCCTCCCTTACTGGACGTACATCCAACGATGGCATTATCTTTGGCCCGTTGTCTGCTCTTCGTTGGTTTCTCAACTCTTTTGTGTCCCTGTGTTCTAAGACCTTGTCCCTACAGCATGTTATAACCACTGTTCATAATCTACGTTTTGCAGAAAAACCTCCAAATTCTGAGAAGACTTATAGGACCTGGGAAGAGGACTTGCAACTGGCAGTATCTCCAGAACATTTGGACGTATTTACATCAATGCCCACAAAGGCTCAGTTAATGTTACAGTGCAGGAAAATAGCTATAACATCTTATCGAGCTGGTACCTGAGTCTGGTGCAGCTCTCTAAATTCGATTTGACAGCATCCATCATTTGTTAGTAATGTAATCAGGAGCTGGGTACACTTCTGAATATTTGGTGGATGTGCCTGCAGCTCCAACCCTACTGATCAGAGGTACATAACATAATACTCCAGGTTACCAAGTATACTTTGGACTACTCCCAAGTACAATTTCTTTTGCACCATACATCTCTTTCCTATAGTGATGCACATGGGGAATGCCTCTAAACTATGTATCCTAGTACACTGGGGCACGACGCACACAATTGGTGCTTGGAGTTCTGTTTACTTTTGTAGAATGTATAATTCACAATATAGAATATATAATTAAACAGTGGCTCCTTAAAAAGCAAATGTTTTGTGAAACACTTTGATCCTGTATGCCTAAACCAGGGGTAGGCAACCTGCGGCTCTCCAGCTGTTGCAGGACTACAAGTTCCATCATGTCTCTGCAAGTCATAGCTGTAACTGTCAGTTTTGTAATGTTGCAATGCCTCATGGGAAATGTAGTTCCACAACAGCTAGAGAGCCGCAGGTTGCCTAACCCTGGCCTAAACACTGCAAGATGGTTAAATTCATTGTTATAGACAGTGTTTTGTGCCTTATTGTTTTTATCTTTATGGAATAAAAATTGATTATTATATAATTTCTGTGTGATTTCCTAGTGGCACATATAAAGTTCTATCCATGGTCTCCCTGTCTTGTCTGGCACTTAAAAGGGGGGGGGGGGGGGGTTTGTTGTATTGATACATAAAGGGATAGTGTCAACTGAGGAACAAAAGGTAATAATATATATGTGTTGACAAAAACAGAACATCTCTATATATATATATATATATATAATGAAATAAAAATTTAGATGTCAGTCTTTTAAGCTGTACAGCAAACAATAGGAGGGAGCATACATAATGACAATGACTTGACAACAAACAAAATGCTGAATTACTTGTATAAAACATTGCATAACTTATAGTTTTCTTTGGCAAAGCTAATTTTCTTCTATTTCTGCTACCCATTTTATTTGTTGACATGAAACACAGAGAAGCAAGGGTGGAATAAAGCCTAAATAACTCATAGGCTTATCTTGTCATTACAACATGTCTCGTTGTCATAATCAAAGGGCCGACGTGAAATTAAAGTTTAATACTACCATGATGAGTATGCATCATGAAGTTCTTAAATACTAATATTGCTATATTCTTTTTCAATGGAAAAGATAAAATGATGTTGGCAAGATGAATTGCATTATTGTGAAACCGTATATTAAATCGGCACCCTTACCATTTACAAACATTTCCATTTATATTTTGATACATAGCAATTAGAGTTGGATTTACAATGAAATGATGGGCTGCCTTTTTCAGTAAATTAGATTTAGAACTGCATGGACACACTCAGGAAGGATAACACCAATAAATATATGCATAAAGTAATGTAGGTGGCTTCTCTGACCGTTAGAGAAGCTCTGGGAGTAAGTATTATGGCACCAAGCTAGTAATGAAGGTCTCATTCACACCATACGTCCATAAAATCTGTTTACCACCATGTTTCGCTAGGGAAACCTAGCTGAATAAACCAACAATCAAGAAAATATGGTTGTGGGATGAAAGTCAGCTGTGGGGGATACCACTGGATCTGTGTTGTATCTCGCTTAAAGTCTCAATAAGTGATATTCAAAATCCTCCATTTTTGCTTGGAATCTCTCATGGGGGGTTGCTTTTTTTAATGTATTTGGTATAATTTTGTAATCTGTATAAATAAATATTTATATTTTAATGAAAATATGTGTTAGTAGGTTGGCTTCAAAATCCTATCATGAGTACAGTTGTTTGGTGTTTATACAACCTGTATTCTTTGTGGTGCAAATTAAGCAAGGTGCCAGAATTTGTGCCATGATTAGGAACATCATCCATGCTTATGTGAGGGATTTCCTATAGATGCTCCAGCCACACGTCTGTTTTGTAGACATTCTGTTGCAATTTGTCCCTGATGATTCTTGCTACATGTGCCAAGTTCTGAATTTGCCATAAGTCACAACATAAATGGACGTTTTTCAAAATAGTCAATGATATTATTGCCACTGTAGCCTAATCTTTCTTGTTCTTTGTTGTGTGTAGCCCGACCGCTCCAAAACTTGACGTGTTATTTGTCCATCTACTTACTATCGGCATACCCCCATCCTAAAGAATGCTTGTTTTAGCAGCTACAGGCTTTTGTGTGCAATCAAGTCTTGCCATTCTTCTCTGATAACTGTCATACAGAACTGCTGTTCAGTTTTTTTTTTAATTGGTTTATATGTATCATTCTCTGTAAACTCTGGAAGCTTACTAGCTTATGAAAGTTAAAAAAATCATACGTAGCACATCTTGTTGCCAAAATTCCTATCCTATCATAGGTGCTGATATCACATATTGGTGTATTGTAAAGTTTGGTTGAATATTCAAATCTCTTGACCATTTAAAGACGTGCAACCATGTCATGGACTTGTTGGCTGTTTTACACTAATGGAAGATACGTATAAAGTGGCCACAGAATGTATATTATGTGCAACATATTAATTAGATGTCTTGTTAAAGTTCTTTGTTAAAGTGTTACTAAACCCACAACAGTAAAATCAGTCTGTATATGCAGTAAAGCATGCTTGTTATACTCACTGTGGAAGCTAAGGGGTTAATCCTCTGTATTGTGTAAAAATTATGTTTGATCCTGACTTCTCGGATCCTCTTCTTCTTCCAGTGCCCCCCTCTTATCTCCTGATAACATATATTGTGTGGAGACACTGCACATGCTCAGTTTGGTGTGTATTGCTAGAGAGGGTTTTTTTTTAAATTTGGGAGTGTGCATGTGATCAGCACATGGCCAATCAGCACTGTCCAGACAGAGGTCAGGGATTCCACATCTTCCTAGAGCAGAAAGAAAACTCCTCCTACAAGCTTTATTCAGTGTTGAACTGATATAAGTCACAATACTGCTCTAACTGCTGATGAGAGAAGATATTTAGCAGTTTATATTTACTAAAATAATTGCATTTCCATGTTCTCTGTGTACTGTGGGAGACCAGATATGGTGAATGCAGGGTCCTGGGTTTAGTAACACTTTAATGTTGTTCAAAATAAAACACATCATGTATTTTGTTTTAGTATAAACATATTTTGTATTTGTCTAGCAATGTAACTAAAATGTCAAGTGTATCTCTGTGGCTATCTGAAAATATGTGAGAAATAGAGCACACAATGACATGCAGATCATAACCACTTTATCTCAATGGCAATTACTGTCTGAACTGACCAGTTACTGTGCCAAATGGTTATACTGGCCTTGGCATCAAGAGGTAAGCCTGTACACAGCCTGCATCTTAAAGGCCGTTCTCTAATAAAATTGAGTGCTGTTTACAGAAGGACCATTGTCAAGCAGTTTGGTCATTTTTCAGCAACATTAATTTGCAGTCAAGCGTGTATAATTTATTGAAGTGCTATGGAAACTTAAGTTACACAAGTAATAGAAAGAAGTGAAAATGCACCCATTTCAAGTCTTCTACCTCTTATATGATGATGGATGTTCCCCTGTGACTCCAGATAAATCAAAGACTTTTTTTTTTTCGTCCTCTCAGCACAACTTTAACTGAGTTGCATCCTAGCAGTCATAAGATAGATTGCCCCCATATATATATTAGTCTAGCATAATGGGTGTCACTTGTGAGCTGCTTGCTTGAGGACAGCACAGTAAATAGTACAATAACTCAAGTGACATATACTGGCTATAGTGGGAATCTTGAACTAGAAGGGTATTACTCTCTTCCTTAAACCACTGCGTGCATAAAATATAAAACATTGTATAGCCACCATTTTATTGTTTGGTACACATGTAAAGACAAAATTATAGACTTAGGTAGTCATTTTCTGAAGTGAATTTAGGCAGAAATTAAAATGTAATGTTCCTATACGTGCTTTTTCACAAAGGTCCTTTTGTTATCTTTAGATTTGCTTGTAGGTTCCCTTTTTTTTTTAATTCAACTAAATATAGTTAAATGAATAAACAATGGTTTACTCCACCTTATGTCAGACTTAACAACTTGCCGGCTACTTTGACCCTCTTCCTGCCAAGGCTATTTTTCAGCTTTCAGCGCTCTCGTGCTTTGAACTGGAATTGCAGTCATGCAACACTGTACCCAAATTAAATTTTTATCATTTTTTTTTCGCCAAATAGAGCTTTCTTTTTGTGGTATTTGATCACCACTGAGGTTTTTATTTTTGCTAAACAAACTAAAAAAGACCAAAAAATGTTGAAAAAAATTTTTTTTCTTAGTTTCTGTTATAAAGTTGTGTAAATAAGTAATTTTTCGCCTGCACTGATGGGCACTGATGAGGAGTCACTGATGGGCACTGATAGGGTGTACTGATGGAAACTGATGAGGATGCAGTGAAAGTTGGCACTGAGGGCACTGTTAGGCGGCAGTGATGGGCAGTGCTGATGGGCACTGTTAGGCGGCACTGATGGGCACTGATAGGTGGCACTGATGGGCACTGTTAGGTGGCACTGATGGGCATTGATGAGGAGTCACTGATGGGCACTGATAGGCTGTACTGATGGACACTGATGAGGATGCACTGAAAGGTGGCACAGAGGGCACTGTTAGGTGGCACTGATGGGCATTGATAGGCAGCACTGATGGGTACTGTTAGGCTGCACTGATGGGCATTGATAGGCAGCACTGATGGGCACTGTTAAGTGGCACTAATGGGCACTGTTAGGTGGCACTGATGGGGAGCACTGATTGGCATAGCTGATAGGCGTCACTGATTAACTGATGGGCACTGTTTGCCAGCACTGATTGTGAGCACAGATTGGCACTGATGGGCACTATTGTCTGCACTGATGGGGCTACACTGATCACCAGGACACTGATGATCAGCACCCTGATGATCAGTGTAGATGCCCCCCTGCAAAATGCCACTTACCGGCTCTCCTCTGTCAGCGTGAGGAGAGGACTGACGATAACCGACATTTCCTATGTACCTGGTGATCGACTGTGATTGGACACAGCTGGTCACATGGTAAAAGCAGCTGTGATTGGCCCATTCTGTAGCCTTGCAATCAGCTGTGTCCAAAGTGGTGCTGACGTCCATGGATGCCCTCCCAGAACTAGCCGACCATGCTGTAGCCATCTTTTGGCTATAGCGCGTTCCGGATTTGGTTAATTAAAGCAGGCCCCTATGCATTTGTATTTTTTTATGTATATGATTTCCATTTACCAGAATCTGAAAGCAGCTTGAAGTGCATGGCTCTTGGGCACTGGGGGCTTTTCAACTCTGATTAGGAATTATGTGCAGCAGAGGTGATGTTGTCGGCTCACTACGGGAAGTTAGGAGTTCACTGAATTTCTGGCAGTATTTTGGAACCCAGAGAAATGTGGATATGACCATATGGGTGTAATTTAAAGGTATATATGCAGCAGCTTTGATAAGATTTCAACCTGGCATTGAAAGATTTATCGTAATTTGGACATAAACGCAGCCAAGAAGCTATTGTGCATTAATATTAATAAAAGTATTCATGTATTTGTTTATCTAGTTACAACTTTTAGCATGACACAGGAGTCAAAAAGTGTATGGCACACAACCAAAATGAGAAACAAACTCTCCTGCGCTCTGAGACCCAGGTGGGTGGCGAATAGATGGATCCAGGACTGGAAGATACAACCACCAGTGCATATAGGGTTGTGCAGCTCCAAACAAGGCTGGGGAAGCCCGACCAGTACTGCAAAGCGAAACAAAAACGAGAAGCGCACCAACCTTGCGCATTACCTCAGTAACCAAATTTTATTAAATACAAAATGATACTCACAAACAGCGAAGTAATTCAAGCATGTAAGTCCTCAAAGGAACTTGAAAGTTAGGAAGCCTGCGCGAGTCAAGTTCCTTTGAGGACTTACATGCTTGAATTACTTTGCTGTTTGTGAGTATCATTTTGTATTTAAGAAAATTTGTTTACTGAGGTAATGCACAAGGTTGGTACGCTTCTCGTTTTTGTTTCGCTTTGCAGTACACAACCAAATATACCCCTCCATCCTATACAAATCACCCCCAAAGCCTATATCCACCACTGTACTGATCTCCCCCAACAGCTTTAATTCCCAACCCAGTACAGGTTTGCCCCCCCATATTCCTTTAAGATGCCATCTTTAAGATCTTCAGCTATATGGATATACTGTGCCAAAATCAACTCCACACTGATGCTCACTTCAGTTTAAAACACCACCAAATGTGCCCAGGCTCCTTACTGGATAAACATGATCTCCAAATTATAAGAGATCAGTAGAGCATGAGGATTAAACAGTGCCACTACTTAAACTCTGCAAATATCATCTATCTTAATCAGGGATGCCCAAAAGAAAATTTCAAAATGACATGGACAGAACAAAAGGATAAAACACACAGTGTAATACTATACTACTAAAACCACATGCAATGTATTATAAAATTTCACTCACAAAGCTCAAAAATAGACAAAACTCGTGATCTGCCCGGCGGGTGTGAAGATGTTAGTGGCCAGGCTCTGCACAATGTGTTTCGTGTACTATGTTGATTTGATACTTTCACTAATTTAAAGGAAAAGCATACCTGTTATTTAAATTTATGTAATGTTATCCTGATATTTTGTGTGCTGTTTTTTTGGTGTAAATCATCACATTGCAGTTTTTTTGTCCTTAAATTAATTTACCATTTGCAATGCAGACCTCACATGCATGGGGAGGTCCTTTCTTCAGCTGTAATGTAATTGGAGTTGAAGAGGAGCCTCAGTTGGCTTTGCATGGGAATGCTGAGCAGCTGTGGGGACATGGGACTCTGGAATGAAAGATATGAAACAGTTTTGCAGATGTGCAGGAAAATAGGAACTCTGTTTTCCATTGATAAACAGCTGATGTTACATTTTCTGAGCTCTTTGTTGGTTTCTCTAATCATCCCATCAAATGTATGTTGGTCTATGTAACACCACACATGCACATACATTTACTTACTAATGAGTTATGGTGATTTTCTTTTCTCTTTTTCCCTGAAAACGATTTTTTATTTTTATTTGGGGTTTCTTGGGGTTTTCTGAATAATGGGACTAACCGTAGAATAACAGCTGCTCAATAAAAAGTTCTGCTGTACCCATTGATCACATTTCCCAGGCTTAATCAGATGTGTTTTTTTTTTATTTCCTTTAGAGACAAAGCCAACATGCATTTTTAGCAATGTGGAATACTACGATGGGGACATGTTTCGCATGGACGCTTGCCGCTTCTGCCGGTGTCAGGGAGGTGTTTCCATCTGCTTCTCAGCTCAGTGCGGTGAACTACACTGTGACCGCTATTATGTACCAGAAGGAGAGTGTTGTCCAGTCTGCGAAGGTACTGCCGTTTGCCAGCATTTATATAACAGTCTGATATGAAATAGCAGCATGACCAATCCAGCTAATTTTATAGTGCCTACAGTATATGGGAACTGTTTGGTATTTAAGGCAGAACTCCAGGCAAAAACTTATTTACATGTCCTTGTTGATGATTTCCTACCTTCACCAAATATGTCATCCATCTTCTGGTTCACTCAGTAGTTGATCTGAAATATATGCAAAGTACTGCTGTGAATATTAAATACATAAAACTATAACACCAGTGAAAATTGTATAATGATAAATCACACAAATAAAGGCTACAGTAAGTGTAAAATAATCAATCCATAAACTAAATAATGCAATAAACAAATATATGGCATACATAAAATGAAATAAATCAGTGTAAGTGAAATAAAGTAGAGTGATGTGTCCGTTGCACTACAAGACACAGCAGACATGGCAGTGCTCAGTTCCAAATCAATCATTGTTGGTAAGATGAAGCAATGTGTCCATGGCACTACAATGGTGTTCTATTCAAAACAGGTGCTGTGGAATCCAGTGAGACAATCTACCACCGCTATGCACTCACCAGAATCTACTGGTATAGCAGCATTGTATAAACTCTGAGATGGAGATTGGAGATCTTTGACCAAAAGAACTTCTCCTTCTATGGCTCCCCAGCCTCCTCCAAATCCTTTTTCTTTTTTCTGCACTTTGCATATATTTCTTATGAGATCCGTTGTCACTGCCTCTTGTGCTAGCAGCTTGTTTTCCTCATATCAACGCTCACCATATATTTATATTTATTCTAATAGTTGCTCTGAAATAGCCTATTCATTTTCAAATCAAACCGGTAATTCTCTTTGGTTTTGGTGTTTGTATGACCAGTGGCTTCTTTGTCTCTTATTCCCCTAACCACTGGTCTTAGCACATCCCTTCTGTAGTTCTTTCTCCAGTAAACAGTGATGTAACCGATATCAAGACTCTCAGACAAATTCAATATGTACAGGAACCCGCCCACGTTTACTACAATTCTCTGTGATTGATGGGAATTGTAGTTTCCTTTTACTGCAGAGTGAGAGGAGAGAATATGATGTAATCACTGCTGTTACACTTCCTCCTGTTATCTTTTGAATTACAGCGATGAGGTCATAAAAATTCAGTTAGACTTTTCTTCTAAATGGTAAGGATTTTCAAAATGTTATTAGCTGTTTAGAGTTTTGTGCAGGGGGTTTATTTATTTTTTAAAAAGTTTTACTGCCACCTTCTGTCTACTTTTTGATTACTTTGGCTGCTTTCAGCTTTTCTTTTTTTTGTTTTGTATTCAATTCTTTTTTATAAGCTTTTTAGTGAACTACAAAAAAACATACTACAACAGCAATCAAGTGAAACATACACATCCTCGGCATTTGACCCACGGGGGGGGGGGGTTACATAGGTAAACAATTAGGTCAATATAATCGAGGGACAGTCCCAAGAACTATAACACAGTACAACAACCTCTTGTGTGGCTGGAAATTAGCTAACATGAAGCAAAAACATGTCATCCCAAGTACTCAAAGCACACCCTGTACACCAGATGAGTTGCTGAAAGGAAAGAAAAATGCATTTTATGGTCATGTATCAGAAGCTTTTGAGGGTTATGCTAGCCATTTTGCTCAGACTCTGTCATACTTTTTTTGGACAAAGTATGCAAATAGGTATCCTTATATAAAGGCAAGATGACATTAATCTGTTGTTTCGAAAGGGCAAGGGAGGGGGGGTTCTTCCAGCACAATGTAATGGCTTTTCTAGCGTAGAACAGTATGAAGCTGATCAGCAACCATTAAGCCACTGAGGGAATCAGGTCTTCCACAAATCCCAACAGGCAAATTCTAGGAAATTAAGTTAGGGAGGTACTCACTATTAGGTTAATAATGGACATCACATGTGCTCAAAACATACCTATTTCTGAGCATGTCCAGAAAGTATGTAAAAAATCACTAGGAGCATGGCCACAGTGCCAACACTCCAAGGAGAAGGAAGGCCTCATTTTATGCAACCAATAAGGAGTAAAAGCAACAGATTGCATGGATTCATGAAAGACAGAAGTTGCCAAATACATCTGATTTCTTTTTATGAGGAGGTGAGCAAAACCTTGGACAGAGGCATGGCTGTGGATATGGTATACTTCAATTTTGCAAAGTGTTTGACACAGTTCCCCACACACGGCTAATGTGTAAGGTAAAGTCTACAGGCCTGGAAAAATCAAACTGACTAAAAGATAGTATTCAGAGAGTAGTGGTTAATGATTCATACTCTGAATGGTTGTTAGTGGTGTACCCCAAGGTTCAGCGTTGGGACTTTTACTTTTTAATATATTTATAAACAATATAGTGTCTGGGATTAAAAATACAGTTTCAGTGTTTGCAGATGACACCAAGCTTTACAGTGGAATAATGTCCTTACAGGATGCCTTCAACTTACAAGCCAACCTCAATGCACTGTTTAATTGGGAAACTATGTGGCAAATGAGGTTTAATGTTGATAAATGTAAAGAGACATTCATGCTCAGTTTGAAGTATATTGCTAGAGAGGTTTTTGTTTTTTGTTTTTTTTTTTTTCTGGGGGAGAGTGCATGTGATCAGCATAGGGCGAACCAGCATTGTCCAGACAGAGGTCAGGGATCCTGCATCCGCCTAGTGCAATATGAAATCTCCTCCTACATGCTTTTACATGAGTTCGGCTGGACACTGATAGAAGTCACAAGACTGCTCTAACTGTTGATGAGAAAAGGTATTTATATTTACTAACATAATTACATTTCCATGTTGTGTACTGTGGGAGACCAGATATAGTGAATGCAGGGTCCTGGGTTTAGTAACACTTTAGCATATTGGCCCAAGGACCCCTGGGATGGCATCTTCAGGTGGGAAGCAAGAGAGCATGAGCCAGCACATGAATAACAATCAAAACAAAAAACACCAACATTTCCCAACCACACAGTGCATACCCTGCCAGTACCCAGCTCCCCTGAGGGGGGGGGGAGGTTCAGGAAGCTGCCTATACCCTTAACAAACTGAGCGCAGCCCCGTAGCCGCTGCCAATAACAGACTTCAGTTCCATAGTGAACCGCAGAAGAGTTCAAGTGTGAGTGAGGGGGGTACAGAGAGGGACCAAGCAGCTGCTTCATGGGATGGATGGAAGAAGAAGACAGCCCAGTAGCTGTCGAACTGAGGAGAAAAAATGCAAATGACAGTGTAGGGCAGTCAGAAGAAAGGAGAGGAAATTGTAGCTCCAGTTGAGGGTCTCCATGAGCAACAGGATGCATAATTCAAACCTGATTTGGAAAGGCTCCCAACAAAATCTTCACTGGAGTCCAGATCAAGGAAAAAATTAGGGAATGAGCTACGGAACACAAAGGTAGGAGAATCATGTAACAAAGCAGTCAGAAAACAGTGAGGCCAGTGGGGCCCAAATACTTACAGTGGCGTAGAGCCTGAGGATCAAGTAAGTAGGACATCAGCTCGCCGTAGACTGCTAGCAGGTTTCCAGCCAGGACATAGCTGCCTCCAGGAGTCAAAAAACCGAGAGCTGCTACCATCCCCCACGTGGAGTTTGCTGGGATATAGAAGGCTGAACTTAAGGCTTTTGTCTCACAGACATATAGGATTGGCTGTGTTGTTGAATTTCCAGAGAGTAGTCAGGGAAGAGAAGGATTTTGGCATTTTTGTATTGCAGAACTTATTTTGCCTTAGCTGCTGCTAGGATCCTATCTCGGCATTGATAGTTAATTAGCTGAAGCAAGAAGGGCAGTGGAGGTGCATCCAAAACCAGTGGCATTGGAGAGACCCCCAAGTTCCCGTTCCACAATGAAGGTGGGCGGAATGGCAGGAAGTAGATGCATTGATATATCGGTGGCTGAAACATATCAGCCAAAATAGTGTTATTGGCATTTTGCTGATAAGAAAAAAGCTGCCGTTTTTGCATGAAAGTCTATGAGACTTTCATGCAAAAACGGCAGCTTTTTTCTTATCAGCAAAATGCCCCTAGTGACTGCAATGAAAAATGGCATCTCATAGACTTTCTTGCAAAGTAGAGCCCCTATTGACTTCAATGCAAAAACGCCCCCTAGTGACTTCAATTCAAAAACGCGCCTGATAGACTTTCATGTAAAAATGCCCTCCTAGTAATTTGAATGCAAAATCTTGTCTCAGATTTCTTGCACGGTCACATCCCTATTGACTTTAATGCAAAAACGCCCCCTAGTGACTTTAGTGCAACATTGCCAGCCATATCAAATAAAAAAAAGAAATTAAAAACTGTCCATTTTGGTTTTCAGTCAAGTGCACCCTGAGTTTTTGGTTTTGGTTTCGGCAGCAGAATTTTCATTTCGGTGCACCACTAACAGGATGATCAAGCAGGATGATGAGGAAAGTCTCAGTGAATTCTCCAGGCCTGGAACCTTTTCCTTTTTCTGGCAGACCGATGATTATTACAGCTAAGGTGGTTCTCAGTGTTGATTGCCTTCTCTTGACGTGCCTTCACCTCTAGCTGCAAAGTATGCGATCCCATGAGTCGGATCTAGCAGAATCTTCCAGCTGCAATATGCCCTCCTGCGCCTCAGTCACTCAGGATCGGGATCTGTCGAGGTCATGACAGATAAGACTAATGTCTGTTGCCAGGTAGTCTATTGTGGTCTCCTTATATGACTGGATAACCTCCACTATGTCTGCGGTAGTGGGGTGGCCTTGTCTGCTGCTAGATCTGTCTGCGTGCCAACTGCAATGGGTCCGGATTGAGAGCCTCATGTTCAAGATGGCTGCCGACGATGGAGAAAGGCAGGGAGAGTTTGCGGGAGTTCGTGAGGCACTTGCCGGGAATGCTTGCTGGGAGACAGCAGAGGAACCCGTTGTGTGCTGCGTGTTCTTCTGGAGCCCAGGCTGCCACTTAGAGAGCACAGGTTGGAGAGCAGGGAGCTCAGATTAACATAAGAATGAGAACAGGATTGGAGCTCGGATGCCACACGTCCGCTTGATCTCACAGCCCAGCCACCCTGCTTTGAGCTTTTAACGGATTTCACCTTCCACACAGGCAAAGTGCATAGATACATCCTACTCACTGAGACATTGTATTCTAAAAGCGAGGCCTCTCCACTGTTGGACTACCGTGATCAGTGGCTGCAGCCACTAATTGACAACTTTTCCAATGTTCATGATCGACTTCTGTTGAGCAGGGACAGCCATACCTGGATCAAAATTCATGGCCAGCTTAAGTATAACTAACCATAGCCATCCTTTTTCACCCATTAACTTACAAACCAGGCAATCCCATCGGAAGCCAGATTTTAGATTTCAGCTAGCAGGAAGCTTTCAATATATTGATATATTTCAGCCTTAAAGAACTAAAGGCTCCTGTGTGACAGTCTAACAAGTACCAAATCCAGTTCCTATGTGAAGAACAAATTTCACAAACATATTTGTGTGTGTCTTTTATTTTTGCATGCAAAACACAAAATCCTCATGCCTCATGAATTTGTCAGCATTCTCTAGAGCAGGGAAAATGTCATGATCTCTGTTACTCTTTCACCTTGAATATATGTCTTCAGTGTGCATGTGTGATTACATTGTTGTCTGATTACATTGCTGCTCACTTCCCCAGTAATGCCTAAGATACTACACATCTGCTATAAACATCTGCTTCAGACATCTGATGGACCTGGTCCCGTTTACCGATCCATTCATCCATTCAAAGAGAAAAGTAGCAGTCATGTGCAGGGCCATCACACCAAGGACAGAGTCTGCCTTTGTGTGGATTGTTTTCATAGTGAAAATTTGTCACATTTCCTCAGTTTCCAGGAGGTCAGAAGTCAGGAAGATACTGGTAGAAGCATCATCATTAGTCGTTCTTCATGAAGTAATTCATACTGTGTGTGTCTATATATATATATATGTTCTGAAACATGATCCAGTTCACAACATGAATTGCACAGGAATGCACTGTGCATTCCTGAACAATTTTCATGTGATCCAGGTTCAGTACAATTTCAGCCCATTCATTTGCATGAGCTTAAATTACGTTGGACCGCACCAAAGTGCACTGTTACCTGCTTTTGGGATGTTGTTAAGTTACCAATGACACCCGCTGTAGATAGCAAGTGCAGTGTGTTTTTAATGCAGTGCGGGAAATGTGCACAGAATGCGGCTTTTCCGCACCACATACTGTTGTAAGTTGGCCCTTAGTTTAGGTTTGATTACACATTGAGAAATCTGTAGTGTCTGCTTTAAATGCATAGCTGTCTTAGATACATGATTGTAAGATGCTATTCCTTGTTTCAGGGTTATAACCCAGGATAAAATGACGAGACTGTGCCCCCATTACCCACTCATTAACCCTATCTTGAACCATACAGAGAATACAACTTAACAAGTGTTGTGTTTTGTGTTCTAGATATTTAATGCTTTCTGCTTGTATATTTTACACTGACTTGCCATCCCTTGGGCAATATTGATAATTTAGGTGGGGAGGCATACCGTTTACTAACACAGAGCAGGCTCCTTGTTTCACAGAAATGTTGGCAGATTAGCTCTGAATGGTTATAGTTCTTTTCTTTTTTTTTTTCTTTTAATTTTTATTGCGTTCTTCAGCAAGACATTAAAACGTGTCCATATGCAAACATAGTGAACATTTATCACGGGTAATACAATGAGGTAGAGAAATGACAGCTTCTACATGTAGCCAGGTGTAGAGATAGTAAGTAGTGAAGAGTAATATAAATGTTGAGATAACTACCCAGCGGGAGTTCCCTTTGGGGGATGAATACAGTGTAACAACATGCAGTAAACAGCCTTTGTGGCCTTCTCCAGCATCTCTGTAGTAAAGTAATAAAACCTCTAGGACAATGTCTTGCCTATGTACTTATTTTCCAACAGTATTTAAAACATGAAAAGCAAAAATTAAAGAGCCAAAAAAGGGCAAAAACAAGAACTTCAGAGTTGCTTCTAAGTGAGATATCAGAAATTTATATTCAAATATGTATCAGGTGTAGGGACCAGAAATAGGCTCCCACAGAGAAGAAGTCTCGAACAAAGAACAAAGAGAGAAGAAAAAGTAGGGGGGAACAAACGGGGAGGGAACGAGGGGGTGAGGATAGGGTGGAAGGCAGGATGAAATACAACTCTTACAGTCAGGTCCATAAATATTGGGACATCGACACAATTCTAACATTTTTGGCTCTATACACCACCACAATGGATTTGAAATGAAACGAACAAGATGTGCTTTAACTGCAGACTATCAGCTTTAATTTGAGGGTATTTACATCCAAATCAGGTGAACGGTGTAGGAATTAGAACACTTTGCATATGTGCCTCCCACCTGTTAAGGGGCCAAAAGTAATGGGACAATTGGCTTCTCAGCTGTTCCATGGCCAGGTTTGAGTTATTCCCTCATTATCCCAATTACAATGAGCAGATAAAAGGTCCAGAGTTAATTTCAAGTGTGCTATGTGCATTAGGCTGAAAAAACAAAACAAACCCATCAGAGAGATAGCAAAAACATTAGGCGTGGCCAAAACAACTGTTTGGAACATTCTTAAAAATAAGGAATGCACCAGTGAGCTCAGCAACACCAAAAGACCCGGAAGACCACGGAAAACAACTGTGGTGGATGACCGAAGAATTCTTTCCATGGTGAAGAAAACACCCTTCACAACAGTTGACCAGATCAAAACACTCTCCAGGAGGTAGGTGTATGTGTGTCAAAGTCAACAATCAAGAGAAGACTTCACCAGATGAATACAGAGGGTTCACCTCGAGAGTTGAGTCAAATGAAGTAAGAACAGTCTTGGACTTTTCTTCCAGAATTATACCTGTCATTTTAAAGATTAGACCCAGTTGAGCCACAAAAAGGGTGGATATGGGGGCACGTCCAAAAAGCATGTAGCATGGTACCACTATCTTGTTGGTAGCGCCAACACATAGGAAAGACTGAAGGATAGATCCTATGAAATAGGGTTGTTACCCTATACCATCGCATCATGACATTGCATCTTGATTGCTGGAGTCTACTGGCTATGGAGGAACAGTAGGTGAAATATGGGATGCATTCCCGCTGTTTATCAGCAAACGTCCGATCTAAATCCTGTTCCCACATTAGTAGGAAAGGAGGTACGTATCCCTCTGTAGGTTTAGACAGTAGGTGGTATGATTTTGAGAGGGCAGGGTCTAGACTATAATCCTCAAACGGTGTGACCTGGCCCCTAGAGTTGTCACCACCAGGGATGGAAGTCAGGTAATGCCTTATTTGCATGGATGGACATACTGTAGTTGTAGTTTCTATGCATAAAGAAAGAGAGGTTGAATTGAATAGTTGATGTGTCTGGAAGGATTGTCTGAAAGCATATACTTTTCTTATATTAATAGTAGAATTTTTAACATAGTATGTATAAGGTTCACTTCATAAAATGATTGTCAGAATAGCTTTGCATATTCCTCCAACATGTGTAAATGTGATTTGTGACCCAGTGCTATGTAAACTTATATTTCAGACTGGCTACACATAGGCCACCCATCTAAATGATTACAAGGGCAGACATCTGCCTGCTTGCCAAAACTAAGAGATGCAGCTTTCCACTGACAAGTTAAATGACTGGATCTTATATTAGTTATATAATAATATGGTAGCACAGCTGGGCAGTGCTTTCATAAGCAGCAATTGCATGTCATCATTGTTCAACCCTTAGCCAGACCTGGATTTAAAAGCAGTAACATTTATTAAAAGCACCAGACTGTGCAAAGCCTTTGGCAGAAAAATGTTTCTTGGTACCACCACATTCTAACCTTAAAACTGCAGACAAAATGCAAAATTGGTATTATGTTATTTCAGTAATGGTCAAAATTATAGTATGGCCAGACACGTCCAGAAAGCCGCACAATAGTAGCTAATTTTTGCACTTCCAACTTGCAGCACATTACAATACACATGAATTTGGAGTACAGTAGCCCCCAGCATTGTTGTCACTGAGTGCAATAATAACCCCCAGTGTTAGTGTTGGCAGACGCATTGATAACCCCCAATATTGGAAATGGTGAATGTAGTAATAACCCCCAGCATCAGTGTCAGTAGACCCAATAATAACCCCTAACATTGTCAGCGAAAGCAGTAATAACCCCCAAAATTGGTATTAGTGGATGCAAAAATCACCCCCAACATTGGTGTCAGTGGATGCAAAAATAACCCTCAACACTGATATCAGTGAAAGCAAAAAAAAAAAAAGAAGTCAGTACTGTTAACTGGTTCCCGCCCAGCCTATGGCCGAATCGTGGCTGGCAAAAACCCTCACCGCTCCGGGTGGACACCATATGGCGTGCAGTTTGCATGCCGGCAGAGCTGCTCAGCGGCGCGATCTGTCACCGGCCGTGTACCTCGGACGTGGCCGATGACAGATCTGAGTACCGGCCCCATTACCGGTACCATGTGACCTGCTGTGACCAATCACAGCAGGTCACATGACAGTTGTATACAATGGATGGCTTCCTGTGTGGCTAGCTGTGAATGGTCACAGCGATCACATGCACAAGCTGGGCCAATCACAGCCCAGCTGTGTCATGTGATTAGCTGTGGCCAAATCACAGTTAAGAAAAAACAAAATCCTGAATGAATCGATTTCATTCAGGTAAATGCTTGCTTATAGCAAAGTAATTCTTTGCTATAAGCAAATTGTGTAAAAAAAAAAAAAATTGATCACTTCCCCAAAGTAGTACAATGTTACTATGGTAACATTGTACTACTTTGGTCATGGTGAAATATGAAAAAAAAAATCTAAAAAAAAGAGAAAAAAATGTAAAAAAAAAAAAAAAAAAATTTTTTTTTTTTTCGTACTGTCACCAGTCAGTGTCCCTGATAACCGCAATGCGAGTTACCGGTATATGATGACACTGTACTGCACTGGTGACAGTATGTAAAAAAAATAGTGAAAATCATTTTTTTTATTACTTCATTTCTGAAAAATTATAACAAAAAAATTACAACTTCAAAAAACTTGCCATGCCTGTTATGAAATACGTCGGACTGTCTACTTTGCAAAAAGGGGTCATTTGGGGGATATCTGTGCTGTTCTGTCATTCTTGGACCTCAAGAAATTAGATTGTCTGTCAGTACTTCAGGATTGATCAATTTTCAGATATACTGTACAGTTGTGTTCAAAATAATAGTAGTGTGTTGAAAAAAGTGAATAAAGCTCAAAATCCTTCTAATAGCTTTTATTTAAATACGCACAAATGAGTTGGGAACACTACACATTATATTCCAAATCAAAACATGAAGAAAAATATATCAAATTTGTGTTGTTCCTCTAAAAAAATTGAAGAAAAGTGAATATTAGACTGTTCAAAAAAATAGCAGTGTTTGTATTCTTCTTTACAAACTCAAACATTCACTATATAAACTGAAAAATGTTTGAAGATTTTGCTTTCCTTTGAATCACTTAATTAATATTTAGTTGTATAAGCACTGTTTCTGAGAACTGCTGTACATCTGTGTTGCATGGAGTCAACCAACTTCTGGCACCTGTGAACAGGTATTTCAGCCCAGGATGATTGGACTACATTCCACAGTTCTTCTCTATTTCTTGGTTTTGCCTCAGAAACTGCATTTTTGATGTCACCCCACAAGTTTTCTATTGGATTAAGATCCGGGGATTGGGCTGGCCACTCCATAACGTCAATCTTGTTGGTCTGGAACCAAGATGTTGCACGTTTACTGTGTGTGTTTGGGTCATTGTCTTGTTGGAACACCCATTTCAAGGGCATTTCCTCTTCAGCATAAGGCAGCATGACCTCTGCAAGTATTCTGACGTATTCAAACTGATCCATGATCCCTGGTATGCAATAAAAAGGCCCAACACCGTAGTATGAGAAACATCCCCATATCATGATGCTTGCGCAACCATGCTTCACTGTCTTCACAGTGTACTGTGGCTTGAATTCAGTGTTTGAGGGTCGTCTGACAAACTGTCTCCGGCCACTAGACCCAAAAAGAACACTCTTACTTTCATCAGTCCACAAAATGTTGCGCCATTTCTCTTTAGGCCAGTCAATGTGCTCTTTGGCAAATTGTAACCTCTTCAGCACATGTCTTTTTTTCAACAGTGGGACTTTGTGGGGGCTTCTTGCAGATAGCTTGGCTTCACATAGGCGTCTTCTAATTGTAACAGTACTCACAGGTAACTTTAGACCTTCTTTTTGATCTTCCTGGAGCTGATTGTTGGCTGAGTCCTTGCCATTTTGGCTATTCTTCTATCCATTCGAATGGTAGTTTTTTCGCTTTCTTCCACGTCTTTCAGGTTTTGGTTGCCATTTTAAAGCATTTGCGATCATTTTAGCTGAGCAGCCTATCATTTTCTGCACTTCTTTATATGTTTTCCCCTTTCCAATCAACTTTTTAATCAAGGTACGCTGTTCTTCTGAACAATGTCTGGAACGACCTATTTTCCTCAGAGTTTCAGAGAGAAATGCACTGTAACCAGCATGTACAACATTTGCTGCCTTCCTTCCTTAAGTAAGGGCAATAATTGCCACCTGTTTTTCAAAGAATGAATGACCTCACTAATAGAACTCCACACTGCTGTTATTTTGAACATGCCCCTTTCAATTAGTGATTCAATTACACAGAATCAGCAGCATGCATGTCATGAGTGTTGGGTCTGTTGGATTTCTATTACTCTAATACACCTGCTAGTAAATTATTTGCCATGTAGAAATATAATTTTTGCCAAAAACAGTGATTGATCAGGTTAGTGATTTCTGACTGCTATTATTTTGAACACAACTGTATACCATAGTTTGTGAACTTTTTTTTTCAAAATTTTTGGTATTTTTTTGTTAATTTAGCAAAAAATAAAAACCCCAGCAGTGATTAAATACCACCAAAAGAAAGCTCTAGTTTTTGTGAAGAAAATGATAAAATTTTAGTTTAGGTACAATGTTGTATGACCGCGCAATTGTCATTCAAAGTGTGAGAGTACTGAAGCCTGAAAATTGGCCTGGGCAAGAAGGGGGTAAAAGTGTCCGGTATGGAAGTGGTTAACCCCCTGCATTGGTGGACAGTGTCTGTGCTGCTCTCTCTCTATCCCCAGGCTGGGTCCAGGGTTATCTCTTCCCACAGTACAGCCTTTCTTTCAGTGGCAGGTGATTCTGAGCATGTTCCAGTACTTGGCACACTGCTGCAACTCTGCTATCTATGTTGTGCCCAATAGCCCATGGGCTGTGTTGAGCACCAGGGATCTTAAAAGGTCAGTTCTCTCGTAAACATTATCTAAAATATAGCTTGAGCATGGTGTTGTATATATATATATATATATATATATAAAAATACTGTAATTTAAGAATGCTTTAAGAAATAGAAGTGTTAATAGTTTATTTTTATCAAAATGGAAAGTAAATGAACTGAAGAGAAATCTAAATCGAATCAATATTTAGTATGACCACTCTTTGCCTTCAAAACAGCATCAATTCTTTAATACTCTTTAAAAACTCTTCTAGGTACACTTGCGCACAGTTTTTGAAAGAACTCAAATCATCTCTTCTACGCCTTGTTCTTTAGACTTAATGACATTAGCTGTATGTTCCGGGGCATATTTGCCTTGGGCGGCATTTTTCAGGGGGGGCAGCATGGCCCCCCCCACGCCCCTGGCAGAAGTTACACACAGAAGCCGTTGTGCAAGCTTGCAGGTCTCCGCTACTTACATTATTATACAGTATTTATATAGCACCAAAAGGTTTGCTCAGCGCTTTACATTATAGTGGGGGACAGAACATGAGACAATACAGTAACAAAACAGTACACGAGGAGTTCGAGGGCCCTGCACTTTCGAGCTTACAATCTAGGAGGAAATGGATCCTACATGGAAATGGATCCGATCCGTGAGAGGCTGCTGGAGGACGGGTGGAGAGGGTGGAGACACGTGGAGAGGGTGTCCGGTGTCCTACCCCCCGGGCCAAATCACTGGCAGATGCCGGATCACTGAGTAGCCAGATCTGCTGATCACACACGAGCCAGAAGAGAGAAGGAGCCTCTGCTGATCTGCGAGTGCTGCCTGGGAGTGGACCTTACCTTGGCTCTGCCCATTGTCTGTGTGGGGATTCGGGGAGAATGGAGCGGAGGGACGGGTGATGTCTGTGAAGGGGAGGGATATGATGCTGTATGTGGTGTTCTGGGTGCTGCTGGGGATCTGCAGGATGGAAATGGAAGGGCAAAGAAATGAGCTGTTGAGCATGTGCAGAGAGAGAGAGTAGACTGTGCATGTGTGGTGGGTAGGAAACGAAGCCAAGTGCTGGGGATATGCATGCAAAACGTGGTATTCCTGTCATTTGCCATGCAGAGAGGGGAGTGCAATGAAATGAGCAGCTGTATAGTATTCTTTTAAAAAATGAAGTGCTGCATACAGGGACAAGATGTTTGTCTTGGGCGGCATTTTTCAGGGGGGCAGCACCGCCTCCCTGGAAGAATGGTCACTCAAGAATCTTGCTCTGCCTACACCCTCCATCTTATGCAGTGCCTCACCTAGTCCCCATCTTCAGGCTGCGGGGGGATGTAGGCTGAGCTCAACTTTTGTTCCTGGTGATGTTCAGAGCTGTGAAGGTCAGTCTATCTCTCTTGAGCAGGGGTGGGTGCGGCGATGGGTTGGGTGGGTGGGTGGTCGGTGCTGGGGCAGAGAAGGGAGGGGGGGTTATCTGATGTTTGTGTTGCCTAGGGCAGCACAAAACGTGAATACATTACTGTGTATGTTTGGAGTTGTTGTCCTGATGCAGATTAAATTTCGAGCAAATCAGACGCCTCCCTGATGGTATGGCATAATGGATAATTATCTGCTTGTATTTCTCAGCATTGAGGACCTGACCAAAGCTCCAACTCTATTTGCAGAAATACAGCCCAAAATTTGCAATATGGGTCTTTGTCCATATTAAGGCAAAGTTGTCTTGCAGATGCGTAAGCTGCTGTGATATAAATGGTGCTGATCCATTGACCAATGTTGGTACCAGAAAGGAAAAGTCAATCCGCTTTTTCAAATGTCTTCTTGTCATCATTCAGAGTAGGAACATGGGGACTATGTTTACAAGATGGCATTAAGAACTCTTGTAGTACAGACGTTTGCCTCCCTAATTGATTAGGAATTGTAAGTAGAGCAGTCATTTGTTGGAGAGAATTTTGGCAAAGAACCTAATATCTATATTTCAAAGATTGATCTGTAGATGTTAAGGTCTTAACCCCCTTTACATATCGCTAATATTTGGGCACATAACATGTTTGGAAATGTTTCCACTGTGTGGATCTCCTCCAACATCAAGGTAGAATGTAAGAGTTCTGTGCCAGCTTGGGTTATGGTGGGGAGGCCTGAAGAGGCTATGTATTAATTTTCTGTAGTTTAGTTTTATGGGTTGTGGATTGAAGGATTGTGATAGATTAAAAAAGGCATTGAAGAACTCCCTGGCCTAATATATTATGGGAAAATAAAGGTATTTAGTCCACAGCTAATATTTACTGGGCTTATTCACAATTTGTAGAAAATTAATTTGTATTTTGCTAACAGGGCCTTTGTTGTGTGAAGCATTAACAATGAGAGTTTCTCCCTTTGGATTCTGAATTCAATACTCAACTGTGAAGAGGGTTTTTGTAAATGTAATGTTTCAACCTTACGTGTTTGGTTTAAGATATATTTGATCTGAGTCAGGCCTTTATTATTTTGGCTTTGAATGAAGGCTCCTTAAATCACACATTTATTGTCTTAGCATAGTTGGTGTGCTGTGTCCATCATTATGTTTGAAATTTTTGAGAAAAGTCTCATGCAGTTCATTTTTAAGTGGGATGTCTTGAATTAGGAAGTCATTTAGTTTCTAATAACATATTTTTGGGAATAGTTCCCTAGTTGAATCAAGAGCATAATAGGCGAGTGGTCAGAAATGTGATTGTTTTCTATTGTGGTTTTGCTAACTTTTGGCAGGTCAGGTTCTAATGTAAAAGTCAATACTTGAATACACAGGTGTGTTCCTGAATATGTATAGTCCCTGGTATTGGGATGGTGAAGAAACCAGGTATGCAAGCTGGGTGCAAAGACCTCTTAACCTTTCTTTTGGCATTGTAAAAGCTGAAAAATGCTGCTGGATACTTAAAGTAGAGTGTGAAGTGTGAGATTACAAATTCCTGTTCATAA